TACTTATTTGTCATTTCCCCTGCTGTCCATGTATCTGTCTATCCTCCTCTGTCTTCTTGCATAGAAACCACACAAGAGTGAGCTGCTTTCATTTCTCAGTCCTACACACTCCTCTTACTGCAGTGCTATTCCAGCTCACTGTTGCCCACGCAGAGCAGCGCCATTTTGGAAATCTGCAGCTCTTCTCTGATGGCTGCAAACCATGGCTTTCTCTCTGTGGCTAAACAAGTCACCTGTGCATCTCAGCCACTGGATAACAAGACATCCTCATTTACTCTGTGAACTTGTTTCATATGACTGAACAGCTACCATTTGTTATCAATTAAAAGTGAACTTTATATTACAAAATTGAAACCGAGCTAGTGAGACCATGTTGAGATGTACGTGCTGGGAAACATGTAATTATCATCTACATCACTTTTCTCTGCCTGCCTTTCTCCCTCCATCTCTGAACTTTCATGTGCCACTATTATGTGATGCATTAAATGGGTTTTCTGTTCTTTCCCTGTCTATTCTGTTTGCATCTGTTTTCATTTCTTCCAAAAATACCTCACTCTCTCTCTTTAATTAATTTAATTTCTCATTTTACACTGCATATCTTTTTTCCATCCTCTTTTCTCAACGCCCTCTCCTCACTCCCTTTCTCTGTCTCTCTATGGTACATCAGCCCCGAGCCACCATGTTAATTACACCACAGTTCGTTTTCTCTATTATTCACCACTCTGCTAGTTCTGTCACCCTCACTGCTGCTGCTACGTTGCCGGCATTTTGCTAGGGTCTGCAGTGGCTGTTGAAATGAGGAGGGGGCGTGGGCTGGTGCCCAATTCAACAACAAATGGCTGTTTAGCGTCATATGATTGGCACAGATTAGAGGGCTCTTGGTGGTGGTGCGGAGGTGGCTCTTGGAGAGGACCAGGTGGCTTCATTGCTGCTGTCTGAGCACAGCTGACTGAGCCATTTGCCTAGAATGTGTTTTACTATTTTAATGACATTTTACTATATTAAATATAATTAAGTGGATGAAGACAGAAAATGGGTTAGAGTGCTCATATGAAGACAGATTTCACCTGATTCATGGTTTTATTTTTAACAGCGCCACCTGAGGTCAGGCAAGCAGATACAGCCTTGTCAGATAGGGGGGTGAAAGAGTGAATGTGATGAACATGTTTATCAGAGCTTGCAATTGTGCAAAGTTCAAATAACTAGTCTTGACAAATACACTGCTAAATAATCTTTATTAAATTGTAAAATTTCTTTTCAATATCCGATATCTTTGTGCCGCTATGGCAGCGATGCCAAAACTATCAAGTTAGGGCATCACTAAAACACACACACACACACACACACACACACACACACACAGACAGACAGACAGACACACACACACACAATGCAGCTCCTGCCAAATCCTTCTTAGTCTGAGGAGCCTGAAGAGTTTCCTCCAAACATGATGCCTGGAGCTTGGTTTGTTTCAGTATTTTAGGCACGCAAGGAATCGTAAATGGATTGGAAGCTCTCAGATGGGACCCTTGTTCAGTCTGTGTGTGTGTCTTAAGTGCATGTGTGTGTTCTCCACTGTTTACTTATTTATTGTCTTATGGAGACACCCAAGAGTGAACAAGGTGTGACAGCATGCAGTTTGAAAATGTCAGCAAGTGCCAAGGTGTTTCAGAGAAAGAAGCATGCTTGTCAGGCTTGCAATCCAGAGATTCAAATGTCTTTTTCTCCGATTAGCCTATTTAAGATTAAAGACAGGAAGTGTGTTTTGTAGCTTAACACAAGCACTTGTATGTCATGCTCTACTTTCAACAGAAAATACAAACAAACAGCTGCTAAAAAGTTATTCAGGAAGTGCAAAAACAACACGGCAAACTCCATTTAGCACCACAGATTGATCCAAAATCACTACAAATAAAACATGTCCTCAGAAAATTAAGAAGCAAGCATCGAGGCGCACTCACTTCTTGGGCTTGTTATTAATGAGATGCGTCATACCTGCAGTTTTGTTAAAATTAGCCAAGTGCAGCAACAGTTATGGCTTTTTGATATCTGTAAACTTGACCTTAATACCGCTGCAGTCATGCCAAGTATAGTATTGCTTAGGCCGGAACATTATATGAAAGATATTTTATTTGTGAGATAACACAGATACATCACTATTGTCAGTCTGTAAATAACAGCTCAGCCTTTGCGGACAAATCACTCTACCTATCTATCTACCAACCAACCCTCACAAAATCCTCTCTGCTTGCCATAAATAATAAATCAGCCCATCACGAATGCAATTGGCTGTATGGACCTGACTCATCAGAGCTCACTTGACCCAGATACAACTGTCCTGTGTGAATGGTAAAGCCAATGTGATGGTAAAGAGTACACTAGTTCAGTATGGATATGGATCAACAGTACTTGTACAGTAAGCTGTGTTCAATAGTGATTGAACTGGCGTTGCCAAAATAACAGGAACACCTGTCAGTATTATACAAACCAATACAACAACTCTTCAGCAAAAGTATCGTACACTCCACAACTGTATATGACGTATAGACAGTAAATGGATTGGGTTGTGGGACAGGTATCCTTGTTATTGTGTCAAACTGCTGTATACATTTCTTGTGAAAGAATACTTTGTTTGAAATAGTTAATCTATCTACTTAATGTATTTGTTTTCACTTGATAAAGAAATGTAGATGTACAGTGTAACTAGAGAACCTATTGCACCGTGGAGGTACATAGGAGCGTAAAGTGAGTAAAGTGAACCCTAACCCTAGCGGGCATGTTTTTACTATTTTTTTTAACTTAGCTTGTTTCTTATTTCACCGTTTGAATTTTACTTCATTCTCCATCTTAAGTATCTCTCACTTATTGAATTTGCCTCCTTCAGTTCTCTTCACACGCTCAGACTTATGTACCGCCGCTGCAAACACGACAGTGTTCACTGCTTCTTATGCCATTTTTCCATTACCAGTACCAGCTCAACTCGCCTCGACTCTATCCCGTGTCCCGGTTTTTACCAGATGAAAACGCTAGCTGCTCTTCTGAAAACGCCCAGCAGGGAGCGCTAGTGGGCGTTTTTGAGGCGCAGCGTTTTTTCCGCCTGCTTTGGTTGCTACGATACATTTGTTGCAAGTAGTTATACCTAACTTAATTGGATGTAAAAATGTCAACACAGAGTAGAGTACTTCGTCTGGTCCTTGCTCTGTATGGGCCCGTGTCCACCAAAGCGTTTTTTTCTATTTTCAAATCATTGCAATGGGAGCGGTGCGTTTTTTTTGAGACGCTGTGGTTGCTATGATACATAATTTCTGTGGAGGCAATGTGTTGCAAGTATGGTAGCCTACTTAATTTTAGTGAATGTAAAAATGTTACCACAAAGTATCTAGGCCTGCTTGCTCTGGCCTTTGCTCTGCATGAAGAGAAGGCTGAAACATGAGAGCACAGACTGTCAGTACGTGGGTTCATGACATTTTGCGGGCGAGGAAACACCTCGGCGAGTATGCACATTGTTTTGTTCATTATAACCTGTATCAATGTAGGATTCATTCCTGCATGAGTTCTAACTAGGCGTATCTAATAAAGTGAGGGTAATGTATAGTAAAGATGTTTTCTTGGAAAGTATTACCTTTTGTGTTTGTGAAGACAGCATGAAAGATTTCATTGTGATTGGACATAAAATACAGAAGAACAATATACTGCAAAGGAAATCTTAGAAGCACAATCAACACTATATTGTTAAAGAATATGTAATTTGCAGTGACTTCACAAATACGACTACATCATTTGATAGATATTGTTGCATCTTCACTTCTCCTATTTAATAATAATTTTATTTAGCCAAGTGAGGTTGATCCTTGCAACCTTCAACTTTTTTCTTCTTTGTCTTTTTAGGTGCTTTGTGTTTACAAGAGATCCAGACACCCACAGTCAAGGGAGAGATTTTATTTTTTTATTTTTTAAACAAGGCCAGGTAAGAATATTTTTACATTTTTGTGCATATGCCAGTTTTGGTGAAATGTCACAATGAAACAAATACAAGTATCCTTGGAGTCATGAGGAAATGAGTCACAAATATGGAAATGAGATGTTCATATTTGTGACTCCGTGATTAACATCTGTTTGACTAATGACTCAAAATCTGCTGCCAAAATGGAGTTGTGAAGCAGAGTGGTCGTATGGACTGAAAAAGTACACATTTAAGACTTTACAATTAAGGCTATACTTTTGACTGCAGCTCTGTGCAACTCACTGGTGTACAGCAGACAATAGCCCTGACCATTACCTTCTATTGTTTGAGGTATTTGAAATGAAAATGTATGACAATAGCATTGCATATTTCTTTAGAGTCATCATTTAGGATTAAGGGATATCTTTAGGTTCTTAAAAGGGATATTTTGTTATAAAAATGTAAAGATGTTCAAATGTATTTATAAACAAATCCTGTTAGGTACCTGGAACCATAGAAAAAAATATATGTATTCTATTATTATTAAGTGACAGTTACTTTAACACTAACACACCCACACACACAAAGAGAGAGAGAGACTCTCAACACTTGGTCAAATCTCCTCCCACTGCCTCCATTGCCATTCTGTGATAGCTGGGGATAGGGGAGTATGTGCTGTAGAATGCCTTCGCAATTTCACACTCGAGAGAAAAAGACAACACCGGCAGACTTACTTCAGAGCACCCAAAGAGCCCCTTTTTACATTTCACTGAGCGAGAGCAGAGACCCCACCCCACTGCCGAGCTCTGCAGAGGAAGAAGAAACAGCAAAGCACATTTATCTTTCCACACAATTACAATTTCACTTTGAAAGGCTCTGAGCTGAAACTCCAAACACATTGGACTGCCTGCTGCCTGGCAACTTTCAAAGAGTATAATGTTTGATTTATTTTTTTTCCCTCCTTATCTTCCCTCCGTGTCTTGGCCTGCTGTTTCGTCATCTATAATCAGACAAGCTGAGATGAAACGCTAGTTTGGCTTTCAAATGGCTGTGTAGCATTTAAGAGCACTAGGCCACTACTGCTCCATTTTGACACACGGGGGGTTTGAAATACCTGCGTTTCGTTTAAAGTAGTTTGTTTTGGAGATCAAACTCGTTGGTGGAGCAGTCATTGCCGATGTATTTCTGAATTGCAATTACCAGAGCGCATTTGAAACTATATCATTACTACTTTGAAACTTTCTGCATATAGTTTGTATTCAGTGAAGTTTGAATATGAGTGAGTTTTGAAAGTTTGATGCTTTCCCATCTACACTGACAGAAAACCAACTGAAAACTGAGACACTAGTGCTACTGACACTGGGAAAGATGACATGGGTGAGAAAAAAAATAATGTGATTCAACATTCCTCATCATCTGGGTCGTTGTTTTTGTGTATTTGAGTGTGAGACAGAGAAAGAGACACTTGTGGGTGCCATGTGAGTCATCATCTGGATCTTTTCCAATTTTTTTTTTTTTGGCTAAGGCTCTTTGCTTCACCTGCAGTCTTTTCACACATTTGTGAACAGATGCTTGTGTACGCACACACACACACATAGATATATTGCCTTAACGGTCACACCCTTAAGAGAGGACATGCTGTCAAAGTTTGAGTCAGTGTCTGTCTGTTTATTTGTAATTGCTATATTCCCACCTATTCCCTTCTATTGCACAACCAGCAAGGGGGGTCTCTTTTTGAATTTTCTCCATTCTTCTTCCCATTGTTTTCTTTATGTCCAAAGGCTTTTTGGTCCACCCTCTTTGTCTCCCTAGAAAGCCTGGGCTGGGTCTGAAACTATTTCTGTTGTGGGCTTGAGACATTGAGACATTGTATGTGTTGTCAGGATTTACAAAAAACATGACGTGACTCGACTTGACTCGCCAGTCAGTGTGGTAATGTCGTCTGTCTGGGAAAACAGGTGTATAATTGTCAAAGATTTGGCAACATAAAAAACAGTGCAATTGACACTAGCTTAAAGATTTTTTCTTTCTTTCTTGCATTATTTGTTTTCTTTAGTCCCCTGCCCTCCACTACTGGTCTATCTTTGCTAAACACAAGCCTGTAAAAAAAGTTTCTTCAACGACAATAGTGTGATTAATGAATGCAGAACACTAATTCTGTCTGCAATTGTCTAAAAATGCGCACGCACACACAGAACCCTCTGCTTAACATTTCATGCCCTCTCTTTTCAAGAGTCTTTCTATGACTGTTTCTCCTTTCATTGTTCAACCCTCGCCTCTCTCAGTCAGTTAGTTAGAGAGCTTGTCTGCTCTATAAATTTCAGGTGTGTATGACTCACTGTGCACTGGAGCAGATTCATAATCACACAGTGCCCATACTGGCTTCACCTGTGCTGCTTGACAACAACTCAGACTGTAGTAACCACAGACATTTTAGTGAATTAATCCATAAATATTGTCCTTTATTTCTCATCAATGTTTTTGGGAATACTGTATTTTACGGGGTCCCATAGTTTCTTATAATTTCATGAAAGATAAACTGATATGCAACTGCAAATTCATTGCAATGTTTCTGGAAAGTACAGTCTTAATTTGGTTCTAACTATGGGGATAATTGAGACGTGTGCAACTGCTATGACTCAGTTAATTAATTCCTAGAGAAGCCTAGAGTCACTTAGGCAGTGTACGGAAGGTCAGTTGAAAATGCAAAAATTGTCAAATGTGTCTACGGGCAAAAAAAAACTATTCAACACATGAATAATAAATTCACAAAGTATGATATTAACTCAGGTATAATTGGAGCAGTTCTTTCAACGAAATTCCTCCTGAAAATTAACTTGTATGTAATTAGTATAAATGGACATATTTCCAGGAAAATTCCTAGGAAATTATTTATTTTAACATGTAAGGTATTGCATTACCAATACATTTTAAGATAGTTGACACAGCATAGCAAATATGTCAGAAATCTATTTAAGCTGTTATTAAATTTAAAATGATTTTAATTTTTAAAATGTAACAAGAACTTTGTAATGTGTATAACATTTGTTTGAATTTTTATAACGATCGATGGTCCCTTCACAAATACTCACTCTGTTACATGCAAAACCTAATTTCTTTAGTAACTTTTACTACTGATTCTGCTGCTACTATTACAAATATGAATACTAATTATGATGACAACTATAATGATAATAATAAATCTGATTAATTTATTACTTATCTAAAAGTACTGCATTTACAGTGCTTCACAGAAAAGTACAAGTACAAAATAAGTAGTTTCAGTTTATTAAAGGATAGGTTCATCTTAGTAGTCTCATCATCATTCCTCCTGTTCATACTGGATGTGAAGCAATCCTTTCTTAGGGTGACTCCAATGCAAGACAAAATCTGCAGTTGTCCAAAAATGTGTTTTATGAGGCTTCATCAGTCTAGTTAGTCAAATTACATCAGTATCATCCAGAGTTACTGTCTTTTTTGCACAAAATTTCCTCTGTAGAGAATTGGCTGTTAAACCAACCATTAATTACCAGATTTGAATCTGTAATATCTAATATCTATATAGCTGCTTGATAATATACAACAACACTTTAACGTTTTGGTAAGGTCGTACTAATGGTCCACCATTATTGGTAAGATGCAAATAAGTCCCTCTGTTAACACCTTCCATCTGACTGAGTAAGTAGACAACCTCGGTAGCACTTTACCCCACTTTACCTCAGGAATCGACCTCATTTAGACACAGCTAAAGGTTACAGAGTGTCTCAGTGTAATTGGTCCTCTGCGACTGCAGCAGCATGCTACGCCACAATCATTTGTTTCAATTCCCGGTCTCCCAAGCTAACATACAGTATAATCCTCTCCCCTCCCGCTCTCTTCTCTAAAATGTTTCACTCTTTCATGCTAACTCTTTCACTGTTTTTTTGTTCTCTCCAACACTCATTAAAGAGTACTACCTAGTCCTCAGTGGAGAGAAAGAGAAAGGCACTCTGCAGATATTTGGGTTTCGTGAGTGTGATTTCAGAGGCGTCACTGACATAGTGGAGGACAAAGCATTGTTTCTACTTTGACTTCTACTATGATTTACTTTTTAGTTGGTTGCTTATGCCATTTGGGGGAATAAAATATAATTTATGTGTCTTGGTACAAGAAGCCACTTATGATTGGCTCCAAAGTCACTGTCGTCTGTTTGTAATGGTATGCATGTGGTATTGTGATAAGCATGCTGAGTGGGTGTTGAGGATGAGCATGCCACCTGTGCAACAATGGCTGTTATCAGTGAAACAGCCTTTTAGTCTATAAGAGAAGGATGATTGAATAACTTCAGGGTTGTGTTGCTGCCTTGATGTGTAACCCCTGGAGATCCATGCAGTAGTGAAATGGGAGCAAAATTTGTCTGGATGTCTTTGGCATTATGAAAATGAACTGTTCCATCACAATGCTTCACCTGAGGAATCTTTTAGTGCCCAATCCAGCAAGGGAGTTTATTGGACACATTTTGTTGTGCATTTTCAGCTTTTCTTACCTGTGTTTGCATAAATGCTGCTTTTGGGATTGTGCAATGCTTGATCTGTCGTTTTGTGTTTTGCGTATTTGAATCTGTTCGAGAGAGCTTTGAAAAGAGCGGTGAACTACTGGTCTACATTGGGTTGGAGTCAGTTTTGTAAAGATTCCTGATAAAAAGTTTGACGAGCGTAAATTTTTTTGCTGGCAGAAGAAAACCCCTTAGGGAGGTTCATCTATATTCATGTTATTTCAGTTGCACAGTTCATTATCTCTTGAGCGTGAATTGAAATAGTTTAATTATTATACACAGGATGATTGTTTATCTTTGTTTATCACATGACGGCATGTGAGCTTTAAGATAAATTTACAGTATGATTTTTTTAATATAATACCCAAAATATAACTGAAAGGCTTCTTTAGCATATCAAAAATGTTCCTGCAATACATGCCTATGCAGCATGTGTGTCACACATACGCTCCCCAACACCCGGCTGTGAAACAGGAAAGACATGAGTTTATGCCTGTTAGACTTCAAACACTTAAGTGTTTAAAGCCGAACCAAAGCCCAGACTAGGATGTCATGCTGCTCAAACAGACCCATCTGAATAACTTACAAACAGTGTTAAAGTAGAGGACTTAGTTTCGTAAGTGCTGCCCACAAGGCTACAGAATGCTATGACAAAGCAGCTCATACCTTTATTAAAGGGACAGTTCATCCATATCACAAAAACATTTTTACAGGCTTGTAGCATAGAGCCGTACAGATAGTTTTGGTTTTATGATATATTTGTAACATTTCTGACACGACTTCAGAGTATGTGAATGACCGGCTGTTTAGGCTGCTTAAAGCATTAATATTTGAAAAACTCAACAGTTAATGTATTGAGTTTTGAGAAACTGTTCACAGACCTCTCTGTTGGAAGGGAACAAATCGATCGTTGTTTCTCTATGCCACACACACACAACAGCACTCAATGCTTGGCTCGCCTCCTCTCATCGTTCTATGCAGAACATACATGATAGATGGTGTCATAAGAGCAGCGAAACTCTGAATCAGGAGGTGCGTAGCGAGTGTTTGATTGTCCGAGCGGCAGAAAGTGAGCTAACATCTCCCTTCCTCTTCAGGCTGAGCAGGAAAGCTTCTACAGCAGCTACATAGCTGCTATGTAACTTAACATTACTAAGTAATGGAAGCTGTATTTTATTACTGCCTACTCGTCCAATGTTGAGAACATCAGGTACAAAGTTAGACTAAACTGATGTAGCCTGCAGCTCTGTCCTGTACAGATTGATTAAATTATTTTTCAGTCTGAAAAAGTGGTTTTGGAAAAGAAAGGACAGAGGTGACTGGAGGAGCTTTGGTTAGTAAAGCTATTTAGTGATGCAAACTAGTCCTTTTAAGCTGATGAGGAGACGTTTCTTTTTGGATTTTAATGTACAAATAAAATTCACCTCAGAAGGGAGGAGGTTTCTCATGTTGCCTATTTTTTATATTAATGTCTACAGATAAATGTCAGAAGCTGTAAAATGAAGACACAAATGCCGAACATGAACAGTCGTATCTATAATGATTCTGAGGTCATATTAACAGGGTTTTCCTGCCGTTAAGGCTTAGGGGTGATGCCCAAAACATGCTGTGCCATCAATGTAAAATCACTGTGGAGCAACAGAACCAACCAAATTACTTTCTCCAGATCTAAAGGTTGTAGTTCCTCCAGTAGACTGATCTTTGGGTGTTATTTATTATCTGCTTTAGCTTTTCCAACTATTTGTTCAGAGATATGGTGAAAATAATGGGCCAATCTGATGTGAAATTAAATTTTTTTTCATTGGAAAACATATAATCCCCCCCCCCAACACCAACACCAAACAGTCATCTAAAGCTCACATTAAACTGGGAAAACACTGCGGGGAGGCGGGGCGTTTGTCCTGCCCCTGCTGAATACGATCTTCACAATCAATTTGTTGAAAAAGGAAGAAAAACATACTAGCAGCAAGTGAGGACTGAAAACACAACTCTCCGGCGCGGCCGCCAAGCAAAAGTACTTCTTAAACGATGCATCGATGAATCCATGAAATAATCTATAGAAGCTTCAAGTACCAAAATCATCGTAAGCTGCAGCCCTACTACCAACTGAGCTAATCGCACTCACAGAAAATATTGGAATATAAATCGCCAATTGATAATGTTCTGGCCTGCCATGAAATGACTTGAAAAAAAATTTGGCACGATGCCAGACTTATTTGCCGACCCCTGCTGTACACCCTTGACGTGACACATGGAAATGTTGATTTTTGGACTGCTCCAAAAAATTAAGAGAAAACTTAATCATCACAGTGTAACATCAAGTCATTTAAACTTCAGGGATATCAGTCTGACCAGTTAGGAATAATAAGAGATTGTGAATCAGCATCACATGCTTTGGTGCAAATCAAACGGGTGCACTGGAGATGCAACAGAAAGACAACCCCCAAAGAGGGAATGGTTTTGCAGGTGGTGGCCACAGACAATCAGTCTGACTAATTGTTCTCTAGTTTTGCATTGTGCTAGTGTCGTTGTCACTACTGGTAGCTTGAGGCGGTACCTGCAGCCCATTCAGGTTGCACAGGTACTCCAGATCCTCCAGGATGGCACATCCGTATGTGCCGTTGCAAGAAAGTTTACTGTGTCACCCAGCACAGTCTCAAAAGCATGGCAAAGATACCAGGAGATGGGCCGTTACACCAGGAGAGCTGGACAGGGCCATAGAAGAACATCAACCCAACAGCAGGACCAGGATCTGCTCCTTTTTGCAAGAAGGAACACTGCCATAACCGTACAAAATGATCTCCAGCGAGCTGCTGGCGTGCACATTTCTATCTGAACTATCACAAACAGACTAAGCGAGATTGACATCAGAGCCCAACGTCCTCTTGTGGGATCTGTGCTCACAGCCCAGCAACTCGATACGCATTCTCCAGAGAACACCAGAATTGCCAAGTCCGCCATTAGTGTCCCATTCTCTCCACAGATGACTTCTTTTAGCTACTAGGATGAAATCCTCAGAGCCATTGTCAGGTCTTACATTGGTGCAGTGGGCCCTGGGTTCGTCCTTGTGTAGGCAATGCCCTGCCTCATGTAGCCAGAGTGTGTAGGCAATACCAGGATGCCACACACTGGCCCTCATGTTCCCTACACCAAAATCCAATTGAGAACCTCTGGGACGTTATGTATCTGTGTGTCCGACTCCGCCAAGTAGCACCACAGACTGTCCAGGAGCTCACAGATGCCCTTATCCAGGTCTGGGAGGAGATCCCCCCCAGGACACCATCCACCATTTCTTTAGAAGCATGCCCAGATGTTGTCGGCAGATCTTATTCGGTTGGTGATTCGAATTTTACAATGTACAGTAAAGATTTTGAACTATTTTGTTCATCGAGATCTGATGTGTGATTTTAGTGTTACCTTAACTTTTTTTAAGCAGTGTATATATTACATTCATCTCCTGAGCCCTTCAGGGAAAATTCCAAATTGTGTGGGCAGCCAAGGTCTTTAACAGCTAGGTCAAGAATTACAAGTGATGGCAACAAGAATTAAGGCCTTGGTTAGGTATTTAACTGACACTCCAGAATGATTTGCAAATACTCAACAGAAATAAATTCCATGGCTTCCTTAACAGTGCTTCAGCAATTTAGCATTGCACTTTCCTGAATTTGTCTGACTTCTAATAGGTCTAAAAGGTGTTTAAAAATGTCACAATCAATGCAGAAGAGACCTGCGGTACCTCAACATTTATTTCCTGCCATATATGCTCCTACAAGTCCCTGATCCAACTTGATTGCATCTTATTTTGGGGAAAGTATTTTACCATAGCATGCGTCATTCACCATTTGAGTCCTTTCTGCAGGTACAGCATCTCTATAGTTTTTTTTTTTGTTATTAAAAAGTGCGAACTTGGGTTCAAGGTCTTGAACTGATGATCATGTGTAATGAGAATATTGATGCCAGTCTTATTCTGTCTATGGTATATTGTACCTTTTCAGCACTCATTATTATTATTTCTCCTGTTACTATTTTAATTTCTAAAGGTCTAAAGCCATCTTTGCAAGATCTAACAAGCTGTAGGGTAATGGTAAAATTACACACATTTACTTGTAATCACTTCTATTCCTTTTATTAGTGACAATTGATTGAAAATATTTTGTTGGCTATTGAGTATTCAAGTTTGAACCCTATTCATGTATTGTTTTCCTTTGCTCTTTCTGCAGCACCAAATGTGTCCGTAAGACTCGCTCTTCACTTCACTCAGAGGACATTATGATGACCCTAATCTAAACCCTTCAGCAACCTTTCCCTCCCATCTCCCCTCCCCACACCCTTTCCCATCTCTATCATGACCAGTCTGAAGCGTTCTCAGACAGAGCGCTCGGTTGGGGGCTCAGTGCCGGCTACTGATGAGTTCTATACCCGCCGCCTGCGACTGCCCAATGGAGGGGCACCACCACCCCGCAGTGAGAGCGCCCACATCTCCTCCTCCTCCACCACTGGCACCAACCCCGGTGTTCCCAAAATGGGGGTTCGGGCTCGTGTGGCTGATTGGCCCCCAAGGAAAGATGGAGGTGGAGGGGGTGTTTGGCATATCACTGTGGAAACAGACTCACCCAGCTCTACTAACACCACCAGCTCTTCAGGATCAGGAAGTGGTGATAGAGAAAGACTTATAGGAGGAGGAGGAAGTGGTGGAGGAGGCGGCGGAGGAGGAGGAGGTGGTGGTGGTGGTGGAGGAGGAAGTGGTGGTGGTAGTGGTGGTGGTGGTGGTGGAGGAGGAGGGGTGTCAGCCGTCACGGCCCACAGCAATCTGTCAGCCAAGCTGGGCCACCTGATAAGCCCACAGGACTCATCCATGCTTCGCAACATCCACAACACACTAAAAAACAAGATGCAGAGCAAGGGAAAAGACAATCGCTTCCTGTCACCGGATGGCTATCTGGGCTCACCCCGCAAAGGCATGAGGCGCATCCGCCAGCGCAGTAACAGTGACATAACCATCAGTGAGCTGGACGGGGATGGCAATGAGGGCTGGTCCTTCTCTGGGTGGACACCCATGCACCGTGAGTATGGCAGCACTTCATCCATAGATAAACATGGTGTGTCAGGAGAAAGCTTCTTTGACATGCTAAAGGGATACCAGTCGTCTGAAGCACCTGATCAGCGAAGCCCCGCTCCAGAGAGGCTAACAGAGCTACTTACCGTGGCCCCAATAAAACAGGCTGCCCTGGACCTGCCAGATGGACCTTTAGGTCCAGCCAGAGGTAGTCCTGCCAGTCGGCTGAAAGAACGAGAGAAGCACTTGAAGAGGAGGTCAAAGTCAGAGACAGGTGGAGAGTCAATATTCCGTAAGCTGCGCAGCGTGAAGGTGGAGGGTGACACATCGAGGACTGGCTCAGATGTTGAGGATGGGGGGAAAGGGGATGAGAGTGGCCCACCTCCCAAACCCTGGGTGTGTCAAAAAGGATTTTCCCATTTTGATGTCCAGTCTCTTCTTTTCGACCTTAATGAGGCAATTCAAAATCGTCAATCTGGGTCCAAACGCAAAAACACCACTACAGGTGCCTCAGCTGCCGCTGCCGCCTCTGCTTCGGCCACATCCTCTCTATCCTCCAATCAGAGTGGAGTGTATGGGTCACCCTGTGGCTCACAAGAGGAGCTGAGTAAGGAGGGGACAGGAGGAGGACACAGTACTAACCCTGCTTTGGACCCTGGTGATGACAAGAGCAATGACCTGGTGCTCAGCTGCCCTTGTTTCAGGAATGAAATTGGTGGAGAGGGTGAGAGGAACATCTCTCCTGCGAAACAGGTAGGTTTCTGCAAGAATAGGAGGATTAGATCAGAATTAGTAACAGAAATACTTTTTTGATACCCGAGGAGAAATTCTTTTGTCACATTTGCACACTTATCAAGGCATCAGGAATAGAAAATAATAGAAAGTAGGTAGAATAAAGAGTATATAAATATGAGAGTATAAAAAATAAAAAAGATATAATGAAAAATATAAAGGAGTGTGGGTAAAGGTAAATTTTATAAATAATAAATCTTCATCAGGTTGTGTCTCAATTCCTGAAAAGATAACTTTCTAGTGCTCTTCAGTTTAAATCTTGAGACTGCAGACTGCAATATTAATGCCTGAACTTTGAGCCATTTTGAAAACACAACAATTGTAGATTACTTAAAAGTTGGTTACCGCACGTTGAGGATGCACTGAAGATTAAATGTAATAATATGATTGTCAGCTTAATCAATTTACTGTTCCTTACCTTCCGTTCTCCAGCAGGGCAGCATAGGTAGTGGTGGGAGCTCAAGCAATTCTTCTGGCAGTACAGAGGAAGGACCTTTGGATGCCACTCTCACTACTCATTTTACCAACGCCGGTGTAGCTGTGTTGGAGGCCACCAAGGACGGGCCAAGCCAACATGCTGACAGGTCCAAACGATACATTGTGGAACATGTTGACCTCGGCGCCTATTACTACCGAAAGTACTTCTACCTCAGAGGTGAGCAAAATACTACAGTATGGGCTTTTTTAAATTCATAGACTTTTGGTAACTGTTTCTCCACCTCTGGTGTAGAACTTGTCTTTCTGAAATGCAGTTTTCTGTATACTGTAATAATAATAATTTCCAAAAACCTGAGACAAGTTTTTACATGTGGTAATTACAAATACAAGGGCAATTTCTTTCTCAGGTTTTTTACATCCTCCCCACTTTAAACTAAAAGAATTGAGCTTTAAAATAGGCATAGTTGCAAAGCTGTCCTTTATCCCCTTTTTGTCATTTCCTCCTCTCTTTCACATCATCCCTTTCTGTCCATCCCTGCCTCAATGCCATTCCTCCTTACCCCTAGAACACTGGAACTACCTGGGGGTAGATGAGAACCTGGGCCCAGTTGCAGTGAGTCTGAGGAGGGAGAAGTTAGAGGAAAACAAGGAGCATGGTCAGCAGTACAACTACAGGGTCATCTTCAGAACGAGTGAGGTACATTGGAATGGATACGACATATGTTGTGTTTTTATCCTGCCTGATTTGTTGATTATTGTGTTGATTTGAGTATATATGTGTGTATGTATGTATGGGGGGATTTATACACGATAGTTCCGCTTTAATCTTGAGAATCTGCAGAGCTACAGTCTCTATTCATTCAACTTGCACTGTAAATTTCCAGCTAAACTGAGGCTTTTTGAAGAGCCTTTTTTCTGTCTCTCTCGCCTGTCTTGTGAGTTTTGCGTGCACGCCATGCTGGCGACAACTACATGCATGTCGCGGTTCCTCATAGGTCTATTTAAAGTAGCCAGCTATTTAAAAACGAAATAATATTCTTTGTGTGGTTCATCAATGGTGATAAATTACCCGAAAGTCCCGCGAGGTGCGGACAACTCAACACAACACCAATGAAGCTGGGGCTCCGTCTCTTCAGCAAGTGTTCCTCTTACGACACCCCACACACACACGCTACGCCTACACATGCGCACTGACAACCCAGGGTTAGAGTTAAAATTTTGGATTTATTCACGCACTTTAAAAACATTGATTGAAAGTTTTATTCTTTTTAAATGTTTATTTACAGCATTAAATGTTGAAATGTATATTGTAATAGGCTGTATATTAACTTATTGGGAGAAAACTGGTAGTTCTATGTAAAATCAGACGTTGAGCACCCCCATATCGCCAAAATGGCATGATCGTCATTTCACTGCGAAGCTTCGACAGTATATTGACAGTCGAATCAGGCTCAGTCCATCGCAGCATCGAATCTTCAACTTTTGGGGGTCAGCCCTAATATATTGTATGTGTGGTATGTTTTAATTGTATTTCTCCATTCACCAGGATCAGCTGTATTTGTAGCAATGAATGTTCATGTTCACAAATGTGTGAATATTTAGTACAATCTGTACTGAGTTACTGAGAAGCTCTTCTGTGTTAAAATTGTGTAGATATGGCTCAAGACCTTAAAATGCCTCCGCCTCCATTCCTTAACACCACCTCAACTTATTGCATGTTTGATTTAATTTGTAATGTATTCTCGCAGTTGTTTATTCACAAAGCTCAATCTGCAGCTAGCAGTGATTGGAAATCTTTGCGAATCACTCTAGCTTTGCTGCCATCTCCTCCTATAGTCACACTAGAGCAAGAGATCCATGTCCTCATTCTCTGAGCTGAACGCCCACCTACCATCTTTGTCAGCCTTCATCTGTGAAGAACGGAGCTGTGCCATTTTGCAGCTAAATGAGACTAAAATAGCGCCCAAGGTATTTGAGTAGAGGAGGAAAAGCATTGCTCTCGTATTGAAGCGCACATGAGTAATAGCCCTTCCAATCACTTGGGATGACGCACGACCCACTGTGCTGTGTTTTCTTATATTTTCTTCCCTCTTCCCTCTCTAATGGCTATTTTCAGAGCAAGGAGCTGGGAAGGTATAGGTGTATATATGTGTGTGTCTGTGTAGGAGTGAGTGAGTGGGATGCACTGATATTGAAAAGGTCCAGTGTCCACTAAGAACAGCTATTGTCCTCTCTTCAGTGACAGTGGTCCTTTTCAGTTTGTTTAACCTTAAGGGTGTTTGCACCAACATTGGACCCACTGAACACGATCGGAAGACACATAAACACAAAACATAGAAGTAATTCTTAAGAGCCATGGTACCACAGCAGATATCCAGCTGTGTTTATTTGTTCATGATAGATATTCAGGTCCCGGTCCTTCTACAGTACTCCTGATTTATTCATGGCTGTCCTCCTCTAGTTTGTTTTAGCCTGAAGAGTCCTTATAGTGGAACGCGGAGCAGCAAAACCTACATGCTGTTTTTCTCTCGTTTAGCCAGACCGTTCTCCTCACTTTGTTTTCCCTGCACTAGCAGAGTCTGAATTTTGTAGAAAAAGGATAGATTTTATGAGCGACCGTGAGCCCATGATGCAGCGATGGCCATGATTATCCTTTAAAAAGAGCCCTGCTGGAAATTGGATTTAATTGCACAGGGTGGTAGGCCTCATCACAGGCTTTCTTGCAGTTTTCCAAACATAGACATAATGGTGTTCTGCTGATGGCTGGACAGCTAGTTTTGCTTTTGTTGTTGCCAGTTATAGGAGGATTTTGAAAGAACTAACACATTGCACGCAGAAAGGGAGGGACCCAACCAAAAATGTTCAAAACCGTTGACCACCACCAACCACTGACCCTGAGAAATCAAGTATTTTATACCCCACTGACCAATGGAGAAACATTTATTTCATGTATTTAAGTTGGTATGTAAATCATTTCTAGTTTCACAGCAGATTACTGTGTTTGGTTGGTTTGGTGTTCTTATCCAAACTCAAAATATCAGTGCTTGTCCTGATCTTTGCATTTCTTTTTTTCTTTTTCTCCTCCATCTGGTTGTGCTGTCTCCAGCTAAATACCCTGAGGGGCTCCATCCTGGAAGATGCAGTACCTTCCACATCCAAGCATGGTCTAGCTCGAGGCCTGCCCCTCAAAGAGGTGCTGGAGTACCTGGTACCTGAGCTAAATGTCCACTGCCTGCGCCTGGCACTCAATACACCTAAGGTCACTGAGCAGCTGATGAAGCTGGATGAACAGGGGGTAAGACAGCACAGTGAGGCAATTGAGTTGGGCTGGGTGACTTTGATTAATCCTTGATTCCTCCCCTGATTGTTCATATTGGACAATTTTTATATTTTTTTTTTACTGCTGTCCATGATCCATTCAGCATAATTTTTAACTAAAGACATGAGTTTCCCAGACATTCTGTACTATGCACAGCAAATAATTTTCATTTTGTGTTTTATGAATCATTTTATGTGTAGGTGTTTATTTTTTTCAAAGGAGGATGTCTCATTGTGGAGCTGAATTATTTATTATTAATTTAATTTTTTATTTTTGCTTCTTGAAATCAGCAAAAGCTGAACCTCTGAAATGTCAACATTATTTCTCTGGATTATGGCATCTGTAACACGGCAGAAGCACCCAGTGTGGTTATTCTTAAAATGCCAATATGAGCTAACCCTAAAATGTCAACATGGTTACTCTGACACTTGTGTCTTGCCTTCTCATTGCAACAATCTCGGTTCTCTCCACAGTTGAGTTTCCAGCGGAAAGTGGGGGTGATGTACTGCATGGCAGGCCAGAGTAGTGAGGAGGAAATGTACAACAATGAATCAGCTGGTCCTGCACTTGAGGAGTTCCTTCATCTGCTGGGGGAGAGGGTTCGACTCAAAGGCTTCACCAAGTACCGGGCCCAGCTGGACACCAAGAGTATGTGTATTCACAGAAACTACAAGTTGTCCTACAAGTACAGTGGAAAAAAACTTCAGATGGTGTTACACTGACACTGAAACTAATACATAGTCCACAGCAGCAGGGTAAAAATTGTCATTGATTAGAGGAGTCTTGTGTTCACTTGCCTGGCAAGCATTTGATGGATGGTAGCATGCATGATGTGGTCAAGCCCTCTGACATGTTCATGTTCATGCATGTTCAATGCATGGACATGCAATTTGATATTCATATTAATTGGTAATTGTTTGGGACTGATATCAGAAAGATCTTACTGTAATATGTAAAGATGATATGTAAAAGTATTATGTGACCAGCATGAGAAGATTTGGCAGCATGTTACAGCAGCGAATAGTATCAGCCCAGAGCGCCACTCCCTTTCTGACCACCCTCTTTATGGAGAACATATGGCTTCTGAAGTCAAAGACTCCCTCATAATTGGTGTTGTTTAGACACAGATTTAGATCTCATCCTAATGGTTGAAGCCACTGTGAGTAAAGCAGGTAAATGGGTCATCCCGTCTTGTGTGCAAAGAGCAGACCATATATACACTTCCACACAGTCTGCAGTACTACTTATTTCTCAGATAATCTAAAATCACTTTTAACATTAGGATAAGGACATGCAATGTGAGGACTAAAATGAAACCCTAGACTGAAATTAATTATGTAAGGACAAAGAATAAAGAATTGGCTTTATTTTCACTACTTGGGGCGGCTGTACCTCAGTCTGCCTCTGGCTTCCTTTCAGTGAATCTTCTGTTTCCTCTCTATGCACTGCCTCCAAACACAAAAGTTCCTGTAATTTCAGACATGTGACATATGGCCTTTGGTGTCAGATCATTCTGTTGGGGAAACTGACCCACTTCTTCTCTCCTTTGACCTGACCACCTCTGCTTTCTCTATAGACAAGATTGATGTCTACATGACATCTGCTTTCTAAGCCTGTGTTTGATATTTAATTCCATACTATCCTTAGATCAATGAAGTCATCCACCATAATGCTACGGGAGACAAAAACTCTGCCATTCACTTTTTGCAGGACATCTTATACAACCTTCAGTATCCTCTATTAAATTAAATACAGCCATGCAAAGCTCTCCCTATAGAAAGAGTGTAATTAATTGAGGTAATCTAGCTTTGTTAAGTATGCCCTTTTAAACACGTTGTGACAGTTTTGTTCTCTGAATAGAGCACATCGATTGACTGTGGAGGTGGTTATTAACATGCAGTGGCTCTCTATGGCCAAAGCCCATTAAGAGCTCAGGGAACATTGGGTCATCTCCTAAGCATTCCAGCAGTGGAAAATGGGGAACTAAAGATGATGTTTGGTATTGTTCATAAAATGCTCTTTATAATTGAGGGAATTAATAAATACTGTATATTTTGAATTAGAAAAACATTCAGTTACTGCTGTCTCTGTCAGTATTCCCGGACTATGTTATACACACTTCTCTATATCTAATAGCAATAGTTGTTTATGGAAATAGATGCTTAGGGTTATAAAATGTCTAGGTAGGAAGATTTAAGTTTAAATAATATTTATAGTTTTTTTTTTTTCAAATTTTGTGTCAGATGTCAGGCATAAAACTAAACTAAATAATAGGTATTGTGAAGCTACAGTTATAAAATGCTTTCATGCATCAATATTCTTACCAAGAATTCGTACTTGAGAATAAAAATGCCAAAGTGGCCAAAGATCGGGTCCTATTGAAGGACTGTGTTATAATGAAAACTATTGTAGTTTTTTATCCTAAGCATGTTCAATTCACATGTAATTGTATCCCCCTTCAGCTGACTCGACGGGCACCCACTCCATGTATACAACTTACAAGGATTATGAGATCATGTTCCATGTGTCTACCATGCTGCCCTACACACCCAACAATAAGCAACAGGTAAGTTTATTATGGGGCGTTCAGTTCCAACACATTGAAGTGTTTATGTCTACAAGCAAGTTGCAGCTTTTTAGTTATAAAAAAAGGTAAGAGTTTACATTATCAAATGGTCATTTCACTCATTTTGCACTTTAAGTACTAATTATGTAGACATAATGCAATAGAAAATTATTAAACTCACTTGACGCTCTAAGCTTTATTTTCTAGGTATCTAATTTATTACAACTCGGGATCTAACGCTAGTTTCTCCTACTGTCTTTCTGCTTTTCCAGTTACTGCGGAAGCGGCATATTGGGAATGATATCATCACGATTGTGTTCCAGGAACCCGGGGCACTCCCCTTCACCCCCAAAAACATTCGCTCACACTTCCAGCATGTCTTTGTGATTGTGCGAGCTCATAACCCATGTTCCGAGAACAGCTCCTACAGGTATATCTTTTTTCTTCAAGAAAGTGTTGTATTATGGGTTGTTTGTCGCCCCAGACAGAGTTCTCAAAAGTGTCAAGTCAGTCTTATTTAACCTACTTATTGGTTCAGGGGAATATCTGTTGGCTTATATTACATGAAAGATATGCAGTGTGCCGGACATTGTGGTAGATGGTGATCTTAAAAAGCCAATACTTCAGTCCACAAGTTTGGCAGGAGATTGTGTGAGTATTTGACTGAAAAACAGAATGAAGAAATGCCTATTACCAGAACAGCTGGAGGCTTTGGAAGTCACTAAACAGCTGAATTTAGTGGTCTTATTTTTTTGTGAGGTGTTAAAATGGAATTAGAAAGCCAAGTAGAGTAGTAGATCATTTTATGGTATTTTAATTACCAGCATTGTTACCAGTGTTTTGAATGGTTTATCCAAACAAATTGTTGTACAATAGTGATCATTTTATAATTTGTCATCTCATACTAAAGCCAATGCAGTAGATGCATTTTGAAAAAGTCTGCATAGATATTGTGGCCTTTTTAAAAAATGCATTGTTGCATGTTTTACCAAAAGTATGCCCCGTTACTTTTCCTCATGAATCACTTTCCATCACTGTGGAAACAATGAGGCTCTTATCTGTTGACTTAACGTACATCTCTCATTGCCTTTGGCTAGGCTGTGAGTGTTGAGAGCCCTCTCTACAGCTCACAATTTATTACCATATTGTCAGAGATGCGTTATATGAAATACAAAGTGCCAGTCATTTTTAAGAAATAATGAACTTTCTGCCTTTCCTCTATTTTTAGTTAGTTAAAGCTATGGACATTTCATTCTCTGTTTATTCCCGCCTCTCTTTCTTATCTAGTCTTCTGTCATTGTCTCTTATCTTGCTCTCTATGACTCCTCCTCCCTCTGCCACTAATGGCTGTTTTAATTGCTGTCTGAGCACATTGTGTGAGGTGTTAATTGTCCCTCATGGGGTACTTCGTTACTGAGCAACAATGCACACACGAACAAAGAGCCCAGCAATAGAGTGAATTTAGAGCAAATAACGTTTACATACAATTCCTTCATTTGTGAATCAAGTTTCTGAAGTGAAAACTAATTTCACACACACACTAGAGGTGAAACATCAGGTTCCAGAAGTAAATTATGATTCATAGACATCACAGGGAATTTGACTGTATCATAATGTTTTAAGTAAGGATGCTTTGAAGCTTTGCTTCCTCCAGGTTCCAGAGGACTTTCACATACACACAGTGCAGGGAAATATAGCACACTTCATTATTCTGTTTGCTATAGCATAGCTCTGTCCTCTAAAGCAGTAGTTCCTAAACTTTTTTGTGACCTAAACTCATGTATACCAGAGATAAGAGAGCCACATCACACACATACAGTATAATGCTGGGACACGCAATGTCACAGTGAATGTGCTATCGGACACTGATGGAAATCTGTCTTCCACACCAGAGCCAAAACCTGTCCGTTAGTAAGCCAAGAAGTGTCCAGTGTGATTTTTGTTCAGTTGGTTGGCTCAGATTTAGTCATCTCAGACTTATTCAAAGATATAGCAGCACTGCGAGAGAGATACTGTACGTTTGACCAAAAATGATGGTGCTTTTTCCTGAAGGAATATATTGGCATTGTGTTGTTATCAACAAATACTTAACACATGTTGAAAAGTAAATGTCAAGATTCATTTTCCAGAAAAAGCAATGCAATAATTCACAAAAGACTTCAGGGCTGAGTTCCGCAGTTATGAGACTAATACTAGACTAGACAAACGCGCATCACACAGTATGAGGTAATAGTGACTGTATGACTGAGGGTGTGAAAAAGAACTCGCTTCATTACACGGTTTGATTTTAGTCAGATTATTCATTTTGTGTTATGACCATCCAAAACGTAAATAATATCTTTCAGATTAGAATACACAGCATATATTTTCCTGAATTAATTCCCTAATCTTTTACTTCTGTTCTGATGTCTAGAGCACGTATTTCATGTGCTCTACCAAAAAAGCCACTACTCAAACCTTTATACTGCTTTAATGACTAGTTGTCACAAGTAGACAAAAATATGTTAAATGTACCTTCTCCACATCCACACACACTCATACAGTACACCTCTGAGCCACCCACCCCAATAGGTATTGACATGTTCTTTTTCTTGCCCTGGCTCAGTGGGCAGCAGGTCGTGGATACTGGAAGAGCAGAGCTACCCACACACTGGATATTTATAAAACCACAAATCACTGAAACCACAGGAATGTGCTCTTTCATTTCTACTGCCAAACCTCCTGCCATGCGGATCACACAGCAGCCACATAGCCCAGCAATTCTTATAGCACAACATTCTCCTTTCCCTCTCTCTTTCTGGCTCTCTCACCCTCTTTTCTCATTCGATCTCTCTCTTTTTTTTTTTTTCTCATTCAGTTTTTTATGCTCTGTCTTGTTCTCTGGCTTGTATACCTCTACATCTACCTCACTCCATCACTTCTCTGTCCTGCATGAGTCACAGGTCTTTGGTTGACTGACTCACAGGTGTTTGAGATCAGTCCAAGTGCTTTTAGAGCTCCACTTTAATGTATTGAGTGATGTTTGTAGTGATGGAGAAGAATAGGAATAAAAGGTCACGTTTTATTTTAGTCATTGTTCAGCCTGCTTATAACCACTTTAGCTGCTCCTCTCTGAAATACCCTGCATGATTAATTTTTCATGCACAGAAAAGCAGATGAATATTGATTTGAGATTGTCATTTTCTTTATGTATGGGATGTCAGTTTAAAAATGCTAATTTGTATATGCTAGTAACAAGAAGCAAGTAAAAAGAATGATGCAAGGTGATTGCTAGCTAAAAGGACAATTATGGATTATTTTTTAATCTTTGTTTTATTGACATCATGCCAATAGATTATTTTCAAAATGTTATTTACTATACTTTGATGTAGTATTCTCTACTGTCCAATGCAGTTTAACTAGACCAGTGATGATAAGGTGAACTAAAAGCACCAAACATGATTGCATGCTGCAATGACACCTGCTTATATCTGATTTTCAAATTATCAATAGTCTTAAACTTCATTGCAGTATGTTGCCAAATTAAGTAGCATTTTAAGCTGGCATTTACTGTTTTATGGGGCACTTGGGTTAGTAAACAGGGAGTTTATGTTAGTATGTTGTATGACCTTCCACCTACACACATTACCTTCTTCCTTACATCGTTTTTTAGAGTTTGTTACACATTACCATGTGGGAAATGCAAGCACCATTTTCACATACTAGCAACTACTGAGGGTATTCCCAGTAGTTATTTATCAACACTGTGCCATAAAAGGCTGTGTGTTCACTCCAAGGTAATTTTAAACAGAAAAAAAGTTTCTTCTCTTACCACTGTCTGTCACAAAGAAAGAAAGGTGGGAAATGAGGTGTCAACAATTTGACTGTTAGTATAATTGAACACCATGTGTGTCCGGTGAGGACTGGGTGTCTCTGAAGTATGTTTAGACTTATGTGGGTGGCATATTGACTTAAGTTGCTTATTAGACAAAGTGATTAATCCTGGTGTCAACATGTGTGCTGATGCATGTCAGCAGGGAGGCATGTGGGATGAGTGCTCTGACTTACAGTGCTGCTCTTGTCAGCTGGTAATTATCGCCTGAGAGAGGATCTGTGATTGAGCTCATCTGGTCAAGAAGAGATTGAGACAAGGACAGGTGACTGGTGTACAGATGTAGTGCTTTTCTTTGGTCATATAAAAGGCCATTTCAGAGCACTAGTACCCTTTTTTTTTTGTCAGCCACTTCAGACTGAGACATTCAACAGATCAGTTTGAAAGTCTGGTTGTCTCACATAACAGGAAAAAAATGCAGGTTTTTTTTCTAGTAAGCAGTAACTCCTTTCAGAGTCTCTCACACAGTCCTCCTTTCTGGGCCACATTTTCCTTTTCCTTCACTCTGTGTTTTCTGGGGCTTTGGGAAGGAGATTTGGAATAGCACTCTCCCCTCATCCTCTTCGTTGACTCTCCTTCCTCTCCATGGCTGCTCTGCTGAGTTCCTGACATACCAGACAGGGTAAACGGCCTCAGATGGCCAGGGACTTAATGAAAGGAAAAAGGGGATGAGGAGAAGGGGAGTTGCAGAGCAAGGAAAACTGGGAGGTATAGGACATGTAAATGAAGTGCATGCTGGAGTGTTGGGACAAGGAAAGCCACACAACAGCAGATTTGTTAATACTTAATACAGCCTTTAGACAGATGAATCACTGTAGACAGCTAATTTGAAGTCAAGAATGTGAGGTTTTCTTTGGTCCCATACTTGAGTGGGCAAACAGTATGAGGCTTTATATCAAACATAAACTCAGGCTCAGGCAGCACCATTTTTTAATTTTAAATCTTTGATTTACTGTGTAATAAAACACTGACTTTAAGCCACAGGATCTTTGATGTCTTAACAAAATACCCACCCTAATTTGTTGGTCAATACTGGAATAACAGATTTTTAACCACCATTTGTTCTCTCTCTCACTTTCCTTTCTGTCCCCTCTTTCCTCTTGTTCGCGTCTGCTCCTCTCCCTGTAGTGTGGCGGTCACTCGTTCCAAAGATGTGCCCTCTTTCGGCCCCCCTATCCCAGAGGGCGTGACCTTTCCCAAGTCCTCTGTGTTCCGGGACTTCCTGCTGGCCAAGGTCATCAATGCAGAAAATGCTGCCCACAAGTCACACAAGTTCCGAGCCATGGCCACCCGAACACGGCAGGAGTACCTGCGCGACCTGGCCGAGCGCCACACCACCAGCACACCCATCGACCCCTCGGGAAAGTTTCCTTTCATCTCACTGGCCCACAAAAAAAAGAGAGAGCCGTCCGTATGGAGCGGCGGAGCTGCGCAGCCTGGGGGCGGTGACCTGGCCGGTCCATGCTGAGGATCACGGGACTGGAGGGGAACTGGAGGCCCTTCTGGCCATCTCCAATGACTTTCTCATCCTGTTGGACCAGGAGGCCAAGGCCGTGGTGTTCAACTGTGCCACTAAGGATGTGATTGGCTGGACACTGAGCAGCCCTGCGTCTTTGCGGATTTTCTATGAGCGGGAGAAAGTGTGTCTCTGAGGAGTATCAGTAATAACACTGAGGATTTCAAGGAGGTGGTCAAACGTCTAGAGGTTAGAAGACACGCACACACAAAACATTACAAAATGTCACATTACAAAACTTTGTTTGTGTGCTCATCATTATGCTTAGATCCGTTATTTGTTTATTAAGTAATTGTGGTTTCCTATGTTTTTACAATTATATCATTGTCAATCAAGTATGTCATTGACATTTGTTGGTTATCCTCCCTTTGCTGTCGTGGGCATGGCATCTACACATTCAAAGTCAAATTAGGTCAGTTGGTGTAGAGTTTATTTGCCAAGATAACTGACATACAGTAATGTAGTTTGTCAGTGTCAATAGAATGATTCCCCCCCGTAACCAAATGGGTGGCACTTTTCATGCTGCACAGTGAACCAGGCTCACTCCATGTGGTGTTGGGAGCCACAGAATGGCTGGGCTAACAAACCTTCATTCATGTGAGCAGACAAGTACTGAGAAACCAAATCAATGGACTAAAATGCTGTAGGCTGCCATTGATCATTACCTGACCCACTCACAGTCTCTCCTACTATTTACTGTTGGCTGTCAGTCTGCCAGGATGACAACATTTTTGTGTCTACTTGCCAAAGCTGCTGTCTCATTACTGGTCTCAGCTTATTGAGAGAGTTTCAGAAACACCTCTGGACAAGATACTCCTAATGGCTTGTACACCTACTCATACAGTGAAGTGGTGCTAGCTCTTCCTTAGCTGTTTCCATGGAAACTGGTTAGAAAAAAGGTGTTTTCTTATGTAATCAGCAGTACTTTAGAATACATTCATTTCCCCAGCCTCTCCCTACCTTCAAACTGCGTGTGTGTGTTTGATGGTTTTTGTCATGTATTTATGTAACCTGGATTGAGTCCACCGTCTTTGATATGCACACATGCATACAAACACATTTGAACACACACACACACACACCGTTATTTGGCTCTGGACTCAGAAATGTATCACTTTCATGTTGCATTTTATTCATCTGCTGTTAATCTTCAATCATTTGAACTACCTCTGTGCCAGAGAGAGGAAGGGAAGTGGCCTTGGGCCACTTGCTTTTTGGAACTCGTCTCTCTTTCTCTCTTCCTCTCTGTATCTTTTTTTGCTCTTGTTTTCTCCTTTTCGTTCTCTTTTTTTCTTGTACTCTCATCCTCTCCCACGCACACATTCAGAAACATCAGAGGGCATCATAATAATTCCTATCAGGTGCCAGTCTGCAGCATGATTATTCACGCTTCCCTGTGAGTTTGAATTCTATAAAGTTGTTCAGAAAGAGAAATGCAAGGTGCCTTGAAACCACCGGGCATGCCACTAGAGAGAGAGAGGGAGGGATTGAGACTGACCACAATAAAAAAAAATAAAAATAAAAAAGCACTCTTGAATGAGAATTGATTTTACCGGATCCTTTGTCAACTCATTGGTTACCTTTGCAATGTGACAGGTGATCAAGGCTGTCCAATTTTTCTACTTCATTCACTGTGAAAGAGAAGCGTGGACACTTTACAG